CACGCGTACCTGTAGAGGTACGCATGCTTCCATTCTAGTGGTACGCGGAGGAATGAAATATATCATGTACATGCTACTGACATTTCTAAATGTATCAAAAATGATGTATATAATATGACATATATGACATATAGCCTATATTTTTGAGGTAATCTGCCACATTTTTTTAAATGTGCAGAGATGTAGATGCTTTAGTGGCCCTACTACGCTACTGTATCTCAATACTGCTCATTTTGATGGTACTTGGAGAGATAATTTTTTTCTGAGGTGGTACTTGATGAAAAAAGTTTGAGAACCACTGTTATAATGCATATGATTTGAATAGAACACCTCTCCAATCCAGTTCTATGAATCTGAATCCTCAATACAAACACTTATTAATGATTCCTAGAAGAACATGTTCATCAAACGCTGAATTAGAACCAGGTTCATGATCGATCGTGTCAAAACCGTTGCCATGCGCTTTCCAAGCTACGCCACTGACGCTGCTGTCTTTTGCGCTCTTTAGTTATGTAGTCTCTGTCAATCTGGGCTGAAGTGAACTGTCCCTTTAAATATGAAAATCTCAGTCTGTATAATCCTTTATTTTCAACCAACAGATGAACATAAAGATGAACTGTCACTGAATTCAGAGCCCTGCAACACCCAAAATACTTCAATAATGGTTATTTGACATTGTATAATATTGTATTGTTTTGTATTGTATTGTTGTCTTTAAAAAAATATTTCCATTCAGTTAACTGTGGTGCTTAGACTAGATCACAGGTGTCAAACAGCAGCTCTGCACAGTTTAGTTCCAACCCTAATTAAACACACCTGATCAAACTAATTGAGTCCTTCAGGCTTGTTTGAAACCTACAGGTAAGTGTGTTGGAGCAGGGTTGGAACTAAACTGTGCAGGGCTTCGGCCCTCCAGGAATTGAGTTTGACACCCCTGGACTAGATGTATCTGATTTAAGACATGTTGAACAGAAAAAAAAAATCATAAATCACAGAAAAGCATACATTTATTTATTTATATATATATATATATATATATATATATATATATATATATATATATACTATATATATATATATATA